TTGTGCTGCAGGGAGCGAGCAGCGCTGCAGACAGATATTGCTGTGTGTGGGGAGCTCTCACAGTGTTCCGGCCACACTGGGTTTGCCCTCGCTCACAGGTGTGTGCTCTCCCCGTCTACACTGCTCAGGCTCCTGGCTGCTCTATATGGAGCGGGCCCTGCATTGCATGCGGTTCCAGTTTTTGGGTACTACACAAAAGCGCAGATTCAGTTGGGCCTGCATTTTGTGCCTTCCCCGGCCAGAGCAGCTCAGGCAGCCAGAAGCTCGACGGGCACACTCTCCCCGGGTGCGGTGACCTTCTCCCCTCCGCGGTCCCAGCCTCAGTTTCCGTGTGCACCTGTCGGGTGCGTGTGGCTTGTGTCTATTCTTGGGAGCTGGCCTCTAGCTGCGACCCTCCAGGTGGATGTTGACCATCCAGAATCTCAGGAAGTCTGTGGTTAGAAACTGGAGGCCTTTTGTAGTTTGGTAGGGGTGCCGTCTCTGGGGCCGAGTTTGCCTCTTTCCCCTTCCCCCTGCCTCCTGCCTCCGGCAGGGCTGGGCCGGTCTGCTGCTGGCTATCTCTTCTCTGGAATTGCTCAGTCTCTTTGTTCTGCGAATGGCTGGCAGGTTAATTTTCTCTCTCTCTCTTGCTATCCCACAGTTTAAGTTGCTATCTCACGTTAGCTCCCTCTGATTGCCCTCAGGGCATTTGGGCCCGGTCCTTACCCTAAGCAAATCCGCCCGCTCCTCTCCGTTCCGCCCCCACTTGCTGGTGGTGGATGCGAGCATCTGGGGTATTTTTCTGCTGGGAGTTGCTTTTAGGCATGGAATCTGTGGGTTTTACTTATTTTTCCTCCCAGTTAGGTTGCCCTTCGAGATTCGAAAACTGCCCCCAGACCCGCCCATGAGAGGGTTTCCTGGTGTTTGGAAACTTCCTCTATTATGACTCCCTTCCCGGGACAGGTCTCCATCCCTAGCTCTTTTGTCTCTCTTTTTATCTTTTATATTTTGTCCTACCTCCTTTCAAAGATGATGGTCTGCTTTTCTGGGTGCCTGATGTCTTCTGCTAGTGGTCAGAAGTTGTTTTGTGAAGTTTGCTCAGCTTCCAAATGTCCTTTTGATGAATTTGTAGGGGAGAAAGTGGTCTCCCCATCCTAACCCTCCGCCATCTTGGCTCCTCCCCCGTCAATCTAGAATTCTATACCCAGGAAATGAAGGTGAAATCAAGACATCCTCAATGTGAGGGAAAACTAACAGAATTTGTCACCAACAGACGTACCCTAGAAAAATGGCCAAAGGAATATCTAGAAACAGAAAGAAAAAAGAAAGAAACTTGTAACATTGAGCATAAAGAAAGAGTAATGGGAAGAGTAAAAATATATGAGAAAATATAATGGCCTATCTTTCTCTGTTCTTTCTTTCTTTTTTTCCTTTTTTTTTTTTTTGCCACTCCATGCAGCTTGCAGGATCTTAGTTCCTAACCATGGATTGAACCCATACCTTACAGTTTAAGCACTTAGTCCTAACTGCTGGACAAACAGGTAATTTCCTATCCTTCTCCTATTGAGTTTTCTAAATTATGTCTGATAATTGAAGCAAAAATTATAACTTTACCTGACATGATTCTCAATATATGTAGAGGTTTTATTTAAGATAAGATATTAAGGCGTGATGGTAAAAGAATCTAGTACAGATAATATTTCTACACATTAGTTGAACTGGTAAATGGATCATAAAGAAAGAAAGGGAATTCCAGAAAAACATCTACTTCTGCTTCATTGACTACACTAAAGCCTTTGACTGTGTGGATCATGACAAATTGTGGAAAATTCTTAAAGAGATGGGAATACCAGACCACCTTACCTGCCTCCTGAGAAACCTGTATGCAAGTCAAGAAGCAACAGTTAGAACCAGACATGAAACAATGGACTGGTTCAAAATTGGGAAAGAAGTACGTCAAGGCTGTATATTGTCACCCTGCTTACTTAACTTATATGCAGAGTACATCATGTGAAATGCTGGGCTGGATGAATCACAAGATTCCCAGGAGAAACATTAACAACCTCAGATAATAAAATGACACCACTCTAATGTCAGGAAGCAAATAGGAACTGAAGAGCCTCTTGACGAGGGTGAAAGAAGAAAGTGAAAAAGCTGGCCTAAAACTTCAATGGGAGGAGGCAGGAATATACAGTGGAAAAAAGAAAACCTCTTTAACAAGTGGTGCTGGGAAAACTGGTCAACCATTTGTAAAAGAATGAAACTAGAACACTTTCTAACACCATACACAAAAATAAACTCAAAATGGATTAAAGATCTAAATGTAAGACCAGAAACTATAAAACTCCTAGAGGAGAACATAGGCAAAACACTCTCCGACATAAATCACAACAGGATCCTCTATGACTCACCTCCCAGAATATTGGAAATAAAAGCAAAAATAAACAAATGGAACCTAATGAAACTTAAAAGCTTTTGCACAACAAAGGAAACTATAAGCAAGGTGAAAAGACAGCCCTCAGATTGGGAGAAAATAATAACAAATGAAGCAACAGACAAAGGATTAATCTCAAAAGTATACAAGCAACTCCTGCAGCTCAATTCCAGAAAAATAAATGACCCAATCAAAAAATGGGCCAAAGAACTAAACAGACATTTCTCCAAAGAAGACATACAGATGGCTAACAAACACATGAAAAGGTGCTCAACATCACTCATTATCAGAGAAATGCAAATCAAAACCACAGTGAGGTACCATTACATGTCAGTCAGGATGGCTGCTATCAAAAAGTCTACAAGCAATAAATGCTGGAGAGGGTGTGGAGAAAAGGGAACCCTCTTACACTGTTGGTGGGAATGCAAACTAGTACAGCCACTATGGAGAACAGTGTGGAGATTTCTTAAAAACTGGAAATAGAACTGCCATATGACCCAGCAATCCCACTTCTGGGCATACACACTGAGGAAACCAGATCTGAAAGAGACACGTGCACCCCATTGTTCATCGCAGCACTGTTTATAATAGCCAGGACATGGAAGCAATCTAGATGCCCATCAGCAGATGAATGGATAAGGAAGCTGTGGTACATATACACCATGGAATATTACTCAGCCATCAAAAAGAATTCATTTGAATCAGTTCTAATGAGATGGATGAAACTGGAGCCCATTATACAGAGTGAAGTAAGCCAGAAAGATAAAGACCAATACAGTATACTAACGCATATATATGGAATTTAGAAAGATGGTAACAATAACCCTATATGCAAAACAGAAAAAGAGACAGAGATGTACAGAACAGACTTTTGGACTCTGTGGGAGAAGGCGAGGGTGGGATGTTTCGAGAGAACAGCATTGAAACATGTATATTATCTAGGGTGAAACAGATAACCAGTCCAGGCTGGATGCATGAGACAAGTGTTCAGGGCTGGTGCACTGGGAAGACCCAGAGAGGGTAGAGAGGGAGGTGGGAGGGGGGATAGGGATGGGGAATACATGTAAATCCATGGCTGATTCATGTCAATGTATGGCAAAAACCACTACAATATTGTAAAGTAATTAGCCTCCAACTAATAAAAATAATGGGGGAAAAACCCCAAAACTTCAATGGGGAAAAAGTGGAAACAGTGACAGATTTTATTTTCTTAGGCTCCAAAATCACTGTGTATGCTGATTGCAGCCATGAAATTAAAAGAAAAGCTATGACAAATCTCGACAGTGTATTAAAAAGCAGAGACACATTTCAGACAAAGGTTCATATAGTTAAAGCTATGGTTTTCCCAGAAGTCATGTATAGATGTGAGAGTTGGCCCATAAAGAAGGCTGAGCACCGAAAAGGTGATGCTTTTGAACTGTGGTGCTGGAGAAGACGATTGAGAATCCCTTGGACAGCAAGGAGATTAAAACATTCAATCCTAAAGGAAATCAGCCATGAATATTCGTTGGAAGAACTGATGCTGAAGCTAAAGCTCCAATACTTTGGCCACCTGATGTGAAGAGTTGACTCAGTGGAAAAGACCCTGATGCTGGGAAAAATTGAAGGCGGGAGGAGAAGGGGATAACAGAGATTGAGTTGGTTGTATGGCATCACGCACTCAATGGACATGAGTTTGAGTAAGCTCCGGGAGTTGGTGATGGACAGGGAAGCCTGAAGTGCTGCACTCCGTGGGGTCACAAAGAGTTGGACATGACTTAGCAACTGAAAAACAACAACAACAATGTAATGCTTTAAGCAGTCATTTAAAAATCTATTGAGATACATTCAAGACACACTATAGACAAACCAAAATGGAATTACTTTTTTGTTAATTTTAGTAACCTATAGAATGGCCAGGAAAGCAAAACAGAAGAACAAAAAAATCAGAAGAAACCAGAAGCAAAAAGTAAAATGGCAAACTTAAGCCATGAAAGATCAATAATTACATTATATAAACCAATGGAATGGAATAGTGAACCTCAAAATATACACACACAAGTATGAGTAACTGCTTTTTGAAAGAGGTATAAAAACAACTCAATACAGAAAGGACAGTCTTTTCAATAAATGGTGCTGGAACAGTGGGACAACCATGTGTTACGGATACAAGACCCTTGTAGAATAAATGGATTATAATACAAATATCTTCTCCCACCACATGGCTTTTTTTTTTTTACTATTATAATGATTTCTTTTGATTAAAGAACTACCTAATTTTGCTGTAATATACTCTAAGCCTTCATTTTCTCATCTGTAAAACTAGGGATTATGGAAGTATTTTACTCACAAGATTGTTGTGAGGAATACATAAAAGAATTCAGGTACTCCTGGAACTCTGAAAAGCTCAAGAGATTATCTCCGGTGCAACTCTTTCATTCTCCATGTAACTTCAGTCCTTAGTCGTTTAGTCATTCCTTGCAAGCATGAGGGGAAAAAGTCACTGATGACTCACTGACCCATGACCCCACCTTCCAACTGGGGAAGATTTATAAGCACTACAGAGGGGAAGTGGGTTTATTTCAGTGACTGACATCCAGAGAGCAATATGATTGGCGCCCCAGCATGCATCATTTTTCTCCTCTGCCAGCTCACAGGTGAGTGCAACCAAATTTCTTATTTTCCTGACTGTCTACCCTATCCTGGGTGTAGCTCCAGGCTTCTGGCTCCACTCTGGACCTCTGGCTCAATTCAGCAGGCTCTATCTCTCATGTAATATTGCTTTTCATTTCCTGTGGTATCTGAATCACAGAGGGCAGAAAGAGACTGGAGGGACAGGAGAAGGAAAGACTTTGAGGGTTGACTGCTCTTCTGACTGTCCCAGGGAAGGAAGGGCTGAAAGAAGTGGTGTTTGGTATCAGGAAGACCTGTGTTCTAATCTGGAGTCTGTCATGAATTAGATGAAGAATGTCATCTTCTCCAGACCTCAGCTCTCCCTCATTTTGAGAGTAATTTTTAAAACAAAATGAGATGGTGAGATGGTACAAGTGTATATTTATTTACTTAGAAATATGTATTTTAAATGTTTAATTTAAATATATTTATAACATTTATACATATATTTCTATGTTTTATATTTTCATTGTAGTTTAGTTGCTAAGTCGTGTCCAACTCTTTTGTGATCACGTGGGCTGTAGCCTGCCATGCTCCTCTCTCCATGGTATTTCCCAGGCAAGAATATTGGAGTAGGCTGCCATTTCTGTCTCCGAGGTGTCTTCCTGACCCAGGGATCAAACCTGCATCTGCTGCACTAGCAGGCAGTTTCTTTACCACTGAACCACCAGAGAAGCCCATGTTTTATATTAATGTCAATATAAATATATGTTATTTAGAAAACATATTTTAAATGATTATGCATTTAACAACCATTTTAATGGCAGAGAACATTTGAATTTTCTCTCTTAAGCCAAGCAATCCAACCAGTCTCTGCTTAGAAAACCAATCCTTTCCTCCCCAGCACCAGGCCTCTTGAAGTGTTCAGCATCAACAGACTCTCACCCTCTTTGAGTTCGTTAGAAGTTTCCATTTTTAGGAAGCACCTGGACCTGGTATAGACCCCCACTTTAAAAACCACTCCTGAACAGAAATGGTGATAAGAAGTGGAACTTGGGGATAGTGAGGTGGGGGGAAACATGGCAGGACTTTTCAAAACCCAAGTGCTCACCTGAAACCTGACCAGGGGCAGCAGGTTGCAAGTGTGTGCCCTACTCCAAGAGACTGTGGCAGCCTGCATGCTACACCTCCTGTGATTGAAAGGACAATCCAAGATTGTTCTAGAGCTTCCAGGAAGTAGGACCATGGAACTGGTGCTGCCCTTGGACAAGAAGTCCTGAGTTTGATAGTAACTATATTATTGTGAATAGGTTTCTTTCTTTTTATTTTTTTAATTTTTATTAGTTGGAAGCTAATTACTTTACAATATTGTAGTGGTTTTTGCCATACATTGACATGAATCAGCCATGGGTTTACATGTGTTCCACATCCTGAACCCCCCTCTCACCTCCCTGCCCACCCCATCCCTCTGGGTCATCCCAGTGCACCAGCCCTGAACATGAATAGGTTTCTTAAAGCCTCTGAAACTTCTTGCTTACAAATACGTAACAGAAAATGAAATCTAACTTGTAAATTATTGTGATGTTTTAAATGAGATACCAAATGCAAAACAATATAATAATAATTCACCATTTATTAAGCTCCTGTTACACAAGGCACTTTTCATACAATTTCCTCACAAGTTTACAAAATAGGCATTATTATCCCCAAAACATAGGCTCTGAGAGGTCAAATGTCTTAGGCAAGATCATACAGCTGTTCGGAGGTAGAGCAGAGACTAAGTTTCCAACGCCAGTGCTCATTTCATCATAGCAAACTAACTGGCTAATACTGTACTCCCAGGAAAAGTGCCTGATAAATGTGTACTTGAGCTGAAACTTCCCCAGGGATTCCTTCCCTCTCTAGGTACATGAAGCCAAGATAGGCACTGGAAATGCCCAAGAAGAATAGGTAACTCCATTGTCAGAATGTGGATGCACCAACCAAGGATCACTCTAGCCAAATTCAGAAGGGCTAAGGAGTAACTCTTGCAACCTCAGTATTCTCATCTGGAAAATGGGAACAATTTAATGGTGATTCTATTATACAATAGTGTTGAGGAGAAAGTTAATAAAATGAAATTAGAAACAGTGGGTGAGACGGTATCGAGGAGGTGTTGAAAAAGACAGAAGAAGGAAGGTTTGGGAGGTGACAACCCAAAGGAAAGGCATGTGGCAAAGGGGAGGAGCTGTGGTCCCTTCTTGTTATGAAGAGCATCTTAGGGTTGACTCTCCTGGTGCCAAAAATATCTGAGACTTGGCCAGGGCAGAAAGCAAATGGTCTTCTTCCCCAGCTCCCTCTACTTCCAAGAATAGGTGGGAATGCTCACTGTAGGTGCTATCTCCCTGTGCAGTGACTGGACATTCTCTTTTGTTGTGCATTAGCCAGTGACTGATGTGTATGCTTTAGGTTCCAGACCACCTTCTAAGCTTACCTTGCTGAGAAGCCACCCAAAAGAGGTTTTGGGAAATCTCGTCATTTTTGTAGAAATGAGACCAAAAAATAGGAAGCTTTCTCAAAGCCTGTCTCTTATATCACTACTGCCTGCTTCCCCTGTGGCCCCCACCATGGTTCAGAGTGCTCTGTGCTTCTCAAAAAAAAACTTTCACATCTGTATTCACCCTTCATCCTCACCCAAATTCTGGTGAATGCAGGTTATTCCTTTTCTCCTGTGAGACTTTAGAATACTGAAACTCAAAGCAGTAGTGGGAGGCAGAAGTGGAAAGAATGAGGGTGTTTAGAGGAGGCCGAGGAACAAACTACCTACTCTTGTCACACCTGCCACTTTCCAGTTTGGGGTCTTGGGAAAGTTACTCAGCATCTTGGAGCACCAGTTTCTTTATCTGTAAAGTGTAGCCTAGCCTCTACCACACAGAGTTGCTTTGAGGATCAAGAAAGGGAATACTCATTGCCAAGTATTCATTGCTGGAGTTGTTATTACAGAGGAACCAGAATGGAACCCGTCTCCTGACACCCAGTTAGCCCAGAGTTCTAACTGTTTTACACTGCCCCAAGCTGCCTGAGAAGGGAGGTCATCTCCACTCGTCCCTGGATGAGATCCCAGACCCCATCACCACAGGATCTGGAACCTAATGCCTGTAGATCAGTCACCTGCTGACTCACAGCAAAATGATATGTCTAGTCACCTGCCAGGGCAATAGCTCCTTCTAGGGAATTTAAAGTGGAAAATAAAATGACAATCATGGTGGAATTTCAAGGGGCTAAGTGTGAGAAAGAGTTGAAGACTTTCTCAGGGAAGGGCTTTGAAGTAGGCTTTATGAGTATTAAATATGATTTTGATGGGCAGAGAAAAGGATAAAGCACCAACAAAAGCGTGAGTTAGGGCATAAACTGGGGATCAGCTGAGCGGGGAGTCCTGATTGCTTGTCTGGTGGCTAAGTGAGTGGCCATCCAAGGCTTCATATCATCCCACAGCATCAACTTTTGCTTGCCTAGGAGCAAAAATCCTGGGCTTCTCTAGACACAATCAACCTGGGACACGTGATATCCCTGAACTAATGCCAAAGGAAGGCTACTACTTGAGTTGAGTGCCTGTCAGTCTCATCCAAACCATTTGACTGCTACAAAATGAGGAAGGAGTGAAATGGATGCAGAGGAGGCAAGTTACAATATTCACTGCATTGATCCAGGTGGAAATCTCATGGGGCCCAAACCTCCAGGCCTTGTAGATAAATGTGAATAGCCACCCATTCTCTAGGCTCTTCTGATCACACATGTTACATACCCTATCCCCCACTGTCTGTACCCTAAGTACCTGTCACTTCCTCTTTCACAACACATGTTGTTACTTATTTAATGACTCTCTTCCAGTTCCATGAGTGCAAGGATCATGGTTATTTTGCTCCCCATTTATACCCTCCAGTTCCTAAACAGTGTTTGGCCAAAATATGGAGCTAAACAAACACTTGTTAAAAGAAGGAATGACTGAATGAGCAGAGCATGACCTACCTAGATGTGCTAAAACCCTAGAAAGGGCCACACCCTGACGGTGGGGAAGCCAACTGAGAAGAGAAGGGTCTTGTTTCTGGGTCAAGAAACAGTCAACTGGGAAGAGGAAGCAAAATTGGTTAGGATTCACCAGTCCAGCCCCCTAACCTCTGAGCTCACATAACAGAATGGCATGGAACCACTTTCCTCTTTTATGATAGTTCTTTTTATCCTGAAGATACAATAAAGACAGCACAATATCTTCCATCTAGGTTCCTGTTGGCAGTTTGCACTGTATTGTTCTCCAGTTTAATTCTAACAGGGAACAATGAATTTGAAGACATTTTTTATGTCTTCACAAAATTCACATTTCTTAAAATGCACCCTGGGGAGATAGAACTACATATGTAGAGATGTAAAAAGAACAATTATTTACTCGTGGCTTAAGTGCTGCATGAGTACTAAAACACTAAAGTTACATTCTTACAGTTTTATCACCTCCCCAACTTAAACATCCCCCCCAACACCTCAAGTGAAAAAAAAATATACTGAAATGTGCCCTAACCCAGGAAATTCACCTACTTAGGGGCAAGTCATAGCCAGGCTTTACTTGATTTCAAAATATTCACCCCTTCCACCTTGTGATTGAAGTAAAAGAACGAATGCATTAGTTGATAAATCAAAAATTCAAAATAAAATTAATTTTTGTCTGTAACATTTACTGGGACTATTCTGACACCTCATGAGATGACCAAAGAGAGAGCAATGAAAAATCATCTTTCCCTTAGTATTAGCGAAGCAAGGAGGGCAGTTAAAAAAAAAAAATATCTGTTTACTTAACAGGGTGATTTGACAAAGGCTTGAGTCATCCAAAGTATATATGCACTGACTGGTAAATTATAGAGAGGAAAATGTTTAAAAGCAAAAGCCAACTCCTAAAAAGCATTCACCCAGGAAGAGAAACAAGTTCTTGCACAGATAAGTTTAGCAAATAAGATGGTCAAGATCCAAGACCTGTGATCAGAGGACTAGGTCAACATTTGGTAGCAATAGATTC